TTCATTGGAGCTGGTGAGATAGCTCAGTGGGGAGGGGTGCCTGCTACCAAGTCTGACAACCTGAGCTTGATCCCTTGGACCCATATGGTGTTGAAAGGAAAAATACCCACAAGTTGTCTTCTGACCTCCACACACATACTGTAGCACATATACAATTAAAAGAAAACTATATTCACTAGACATATAGATACAATTCATTCTGCAGATAACCAATGCAAATCACTCAACTTACCTATGCATTCTCCAGGCATTTTATCAGCACTGTTGTTATTTGCACCACTGAGGCGAACTATACTGGAAGAACTTTGATAATTGAGTGTGGGAAGGCAATCTGTGCTTCCTTTTGTACTCTCATTCTCTGACACTATAAAGATGAAAATGAAAATGTTAATTGAGTGCAACTCATACATATTGTGGGAGGTAAAGAGACGCTTTTAGTCTTACATAGTTTGAACTGAAAATTGGTGAAAAGAATATACTAAATATTTCTCCACATATTTGTCAACAAAGGAGTCATTCCACTTAAAGGCTTTCAAATGTGGATTAAGTTAATATTGTTCATGCATTAGGCCATACACAAATTTTATATTTCCTCTTTGATTGTGAAGAACAGATTTTGAAGTGGGAAGAAAAAGGGAAAACATAAGTCACAATTCACTAACATACATTAAATACATTAAAGGAATTAAATCTCAGACAGAGTTCTATTTAAAAAAAAATCCTTGCTGGACGTGGTGGCCCACGCCTTTAGTCTCAGCACTTGGGAGGCAGAGGCAGGTGGATGGATCTCTGTGAGTTCAAAGCCAGTCTACAAAGTGAGTTCCAGGACAGCTGGGGCTACAGGGAGACCCTGTCTCAAAAAGACCAAAAAAAAAAAAAAACACCCCAAAAAAAAAAAAAACAACTTTAGTCCCAGCACTTGGGAGGCAGGTGGATCTCTGTGAGTTCAAAGCCAGTCTACAAAGTGAGTTCCAGGACAGCTGGGGCTACAGGGAGACCCTGTCTCAAAAAGACCAAAAAAAAAAAAAAACACCCCAAAAAAAAAAAAAACAACTTTAGTCCCAGCACTTGGGAGGCAGGTGGATCTCTGTGAGTTCAAAGCCAGTCTACAAAGTGAGTTCCAGGACAGCTGGGGCTACAGGGAGACCCTGTCTCAAAAAGACAAAAAAACCAAACACCGCCCCCACAAATTTTCTATTATAAGTATTTTGTGAGTTAAATAATATTCACTTTAACAGTATTTGATTGAAGAGTGTTTTACCACTGAGACTATATACTTCATACAAAAAGCATTTATATGAAAATATTAGGTGGCAAAGAGGGCTTATAATGAGAAAAAAGATACTTATAATGGGAAAATAAAAAGCAAAATTAGTGCTTTTATATTTAAAGTCACTTGTGTTTTTCATGAATGTAAGTTCACAATTTTATACAATATCAACTTATCAATACCTACAGGAACTAGAATCACTCCCTTTTTTATCTTTTTCTTCTTGAATGTTTTCAGTAGCTATACCCACTCTTTTAACTTCATCCTTAGATAATGAATTATATCCAAGGTCAGACTGGCCACCTGAGCAAAAAAAGAAACAAACTCTGTTGCTTATCATAAATTTTTTTTCCTTTCTTTATTATTTTTATTTTATATCTATGAGTGTATTGCCTGCATGTGTGTAAGTTCACCTGTGTTGCATAATGCCCGTGGAGTCAGAAGAGAGTGTTGGATTCCCTGGAACTGGAGTTATGTACGGTTGTTAGCCACCATGTGGGTGCTGGGAATCGAACCCCAGTTCTCTGTAAGAGAAGCTAGTGCTCTTAACCTGTTAAGCCATCTCTCCAGCCTCCTATCATAAATTTCTTTAGTGAAAGCAATTGTGATTAGGAACAATTTTGTTTGGATTTACTAACAGACTTTTTCAAAACTTCCCATCAACAGCATTACTGTTGGTTACCCATCATCTACTCCATTAATATAAGACACAATCTCAAAATAATTTAGTTTTGGCTCCATATTGCAGTCAAGTACTTATATACATTTACACTATTATGTGGGCATCAAAACACAAACTAGATAATCTTTTTTTTTTTAATAGGGTCTCCCTAGATGGAACTCATTATGTAGACCAGGCTGGCTTTGATCTCACAGAAATCCTGCCTCTGCCTCCTGAGTGCTGGGATTAAAGGCATGTACCACCATGCCCGGCAAACTAGATATTCTTCACACAAGTCCATCTCCTGGTTAAAGTCTTAGTTTTTTTTTTTTTTTGGTGAAATATGATCTACGTAGACCTGTTGGCTGAACTCACAGAAATCCACCTGCCTCTGCTTCCTGAGTACTGAAGAAAATTTATAGGAAATTCGTAACAGAACATGCACACATAGACCACTGGAGCTAAATCTCTAACAACTTTGTCACAAAGTCAGATTCCTTTAACTAATTTTCTCAAAATCCAAGTGAATAATTATAGAACTGCATTACTATTAAGAAAAGCAAAAGTGGAGCTGGAGAGATGGCTCAGCAGTTAAGAGCACTGACCACTCTTCCAAAGGATCCAAGTTCAGTTTCCAGTACCTACATGGTGGCTAACAACTGTCCGTAACTCCAGTTTCAAGGGATCTGATACCTTCTGGCTTCCACAGGCATTGCATGCACAAGTGTATTTATATATGTGCAAGCACAATACTCATTCACATAAAATAAAAATAAATCAAAAAATTAAAAAAAGAAAAGTAAAAGTTGGGGCTGAATAGATAGCTCAATGGTTAAGAGCACTAGCTCTTGCAGAGAACTTGAGTTTGGATCTTAGCACCCATGTTGGGTGGCTCAAAATTGCCTGTAACTCCAGTGTTAGGGGATATGATGTCTTCTTCTGACCTCTGAGGACACCTCATGAGGGCACACTCATGGCATCCACTCAGATAGACACATAAATAAAAATAATAAAAAAGAAACGTTACATTGGTGATAGAAAACTTCTAACACATTCTTTTATTAAAGAGGTTCTGTATCAGTTTTAGCAAATTTTTTTCATCAGATTAGCATCAAAAGATAGGATTCTAAATCACAGGAGATGTGTGATTTTAAATGATGTACTTTTTTTTGTTTGAACCTCCAGTTCCCAGATTTATAAAATTAAGGTTATCATGATTATGACTAAAAATAAAAGTTTTATACACTTGTGAAGAATTCTAAAGAGGTATACTGAATATCACTAGGTATTTACTATTAATATCTTTATTATAATTTTGAGCATGCATTTTTTTTGCCTAATGAAACTTTCAGGTCTTGTTGCCAAAGAAACCACAAATAGAAGAAATTTAAGATACTATTTTTAGGTTCCATACTATTTTCAGACAGCCTTTTTTAAAATCCATAATTAAAAAAAATAAAAGATTGCTTCATTTTAAGGAGATAAGGTCTAAGGACAACTTCAATAACTGATTAAATTCACAATGCATTATCAAAAAATAAAACCAGCTAAGGAAGAATTGGTGTACAACATTTCAACACAGCTTATATTTATTAATCTTAAAAGTTGGCATAATTGGGAGTGAAGATGGGGGAGAAGGTCTGAATATGATCAAAATACATTGTATGACAGTCTCAGAAAAAAATCATAAAAATGAAAAAAAATTTTTTTGGTCTTTTTGAGACAGGGTCTCCTTGTAGCCCCAGCTGTCCTGGAACTCACTATGTAGACCAGGCTGGCCTTGTTAGCATAAGGCCAGGCATAGTGGTGCATGCCTTTCATCCCAGCACAGAAGGCAGAAGCAGGTGGATCTTTGTGAGTTTGGGGCCATCCTTTTCTATATAACATGTTCCAGGCCAGCTGGGGCGATATAAGACACTATCTCAATAAGATAAAAAAAAAAGTCAGTATAAAATGAAACAGACCAAAACAATGTTGCCATTTGCAGAGGTAAGTATCCTTCATGGCTTTTTAAATTTTTTTAAAAAGGGTTATTTTTATTTTTAATTATGTGTACTAGTGTCTATCTGAGTGGGGGTATGTGCACATCATTGCAGGTACCTGGAGAGGCCTGAAGAGGACACTGGATCTCTTAGAGCTGGAGTTATAGGTGGCTGTGAGCCGTGTTACACAGGTGCAGAGAACCAAAATTAGGTCCTCTGGAAAGGCAGTACTTACTTTTAACTGTTAAATCGTCCCTCCAGCTCCCCTCCCATTCATGTTTTACAATAATGCCTCAGGTTTTAAAGCTTCTGCCCATTAAGAGTTCATGCTTATACTATTTTAAAAAGTCATGTGTAATTTAAAAAATAATTTAGTTGGAATTATGTAAGTAATTTAAGTGTATCGCTTTTAAATGTACACATCTTTTTTTGAGTTTTTAAAAAAAATCTTATTTATTATTTTATTTTATGTGTATACGTGTACTGCCTGCATGTAGGTAAGTGCACCCGTGTCGTGCAATGCCTGTGGAGGTCAGAAGAGGCTGTCGGATCCTCTGGGACTGGAGTTACAGATAGTTTTTAGCTGCCATGTGGGTGCTGGGATTCAAACCCCAGTCTTCTGCAAGAACAATCAGTGTTCTTAGCTGCTAAGCCATCTCTCCAGCCCCATGTACACATCTTTTAAAAATATTTATTTATTTGTGGGTGGGTGTGTGTGCAAAGACATGCCATGGCACATATGTGGAGGTCAGAGGACAACTTGGGGGAGTCAGTTCTCTCTTTCCACAATATGTGTCCCAGGAATCAAAGGCTTGGCTGGAATTGTCTTTACCCACTGAGCCATCACACCAGTAAGGCTTATGTACAAATCTTATATTTCAATGAAAAAATACCTATTCAGTGCTAGAATGCTAGTATTTTTGCATTTAAATTATAACAAAGTTTGACTCAAAAGATGTAAAACAATAATATAGTACAGAGTTCTCGGTGGTACCTTTACCCAGTTTCTCCTGATGATACCCTATATGGTCATAGTATAATGTTAAAAACAGGAAATTGACAATGGGATAATACCATTAACTCAGAAACAGAGATATGTTTGTTTAAAAATGCTAATAAAAATTTCATAATTATGAAGAATTTATCCAAGAAAATGACATGATAAGGGGTTTGGAGTATAGCTTAGTGGCAGAGCCCTTGCCTAGCATATGTGGATTTGATCTCTAGCACTGGGGGTGGGGGAAGGAGAAAAAAATATGGTGAAAAGATCTGCGGCTATTTGGAGTTAATTGGATTATCATGGAATAAATGCTTGAATTAAATACTTCATAACCTCTCAAACACATAATGAATAAAGTTGAATATAGCTATTAAATCAATGTCAAACCAAGTGCCTAATAGAAATCAATCAATGTCAAACCAAGTGCCTAATAGAAATCAATCAATGTCAAACCAAGTGCCGAAGACAAAAATTAAAAGATAAAAATTTCATAATTATGAAGAATTTATCCAAGAAAATGACATGATAAGGGGTTTGGAGTATAGCTTAGTGGCAGAGCCCTTGCCTAGCATATGTGGATTTGATCTCTAGCACTGGGGGTGGGGGAAGGAGAAAAAAATATGGTGAAAAGATCTGCGGCTATTTGGAGTTAATTGGATTATCATGGAATAAATGCTTGAATTAAATACTTCATAACCTCTCAAACACATAATGAATAAAGTTGAATATAGCTATTAAATCAATGTCAAACCAAGTGCCTAATAGAAATCAATCAATGTCAAACCAAGTGCCTAATAGAAATCAAAAAGTGACAAGCACATCACTGAAGACAAAAATTAAAAGATACAGGCTAGCAATTCTAATTTTCAAAACATACTATAATAAATGTATACATAAGCATACACAAACCTGTACTAGCTCTATCATCAGTAGCATATACTTTGATTAAACCCGTATTAAAAGGTGCCTGCTCCACAGAGTGTATCTCATGACCACTATCCATGCTGCCATGACTAACAGCATCCAGGTCACTGCCACCTGCTTAAGAACAGAATTTACAGCATTTTATACTCAAGGAGGTACCAGAATGACACATTAGAGTTTGTGTCATAATAATCTAATAATAACTAATAATCTAATAATAATCTAATGTAACAAATGCATGGTATGCCACACACTCAGCAAAGTCTAACTACAACAACGAACCTACTATGAATTATTAATGAACAAAACAAAATCACCAAAATCACCAAACTGATAATCTACAGTTGAAAAAAGGAGAAATATGATGTCTTTTTTTTTAATGGCAAGAGTACTCTAATATAGGCTGAATTTCCTTAGTCTGTAAACTTGAAATCTAAGCACCAACATGACGCAAGTGGAAAATTCCACAATTGACCTTATGTGATATATCATAGTCAAGACACAGGCACAGTAAAAATATTATATAAAGTTACTTTAAGGCCATGTGTGTAAAGTATATATGAAACCTGAATGACTTGGATCCCACTCCCATGTATTTCATTACATACAAGCAAACATTCCAAAATCGAAAAACATTTCCAGACCAAAAACATTCCTGGTACCAAAGCATTGCTGATAACAGGATAGTCAACTTTTATTAAAAATTTCCAACTGGCAATAAAATTTGGAAAACATTCAATATTTTTAAAGTCTTTAAAAAATTTCAAAAATATAAAATATAATAAATTAATTTTGAAAAAGAGTAAAACATATGCATACTTTAAAATTTTTTAATTACCGGGGCTGGAGAGATGGCTCAGCGGTTAAGAGCACTCACTGACTGCGCTTGCAGAGGACCCAGGTTTGATTCCCAGCACCCACACGGTGGCTATGAACCATCCTTAACTCCAGATCCAGGGGAATTCGAAGCCCTCTTCCGACCTCCGCCGGCATTGCACAACATGGGTGCACCTCACATACATGCAGGTAATACACTCGTACACATAAAAATAATAAATAAAATATTTAAAAAATTTTAATTACCTGAGACAGTTGTCTGTGATAACTGTGTATGTTTCTTTAAAGCTCTTTTGAACTGTGCTACTCCTAAAACAACATTTCTTACTTTTGTCCAAAGAAAATAGCCACTGCGACTTCTTGAAGGCCAAGTACTTTCCAAAACAGCCTATCCAGTCAACAAAATAAAAAAATAAAATATTGTTATAAATGAATATAAACTGGCTTCAGAATCAAACTAAAGAGTTACAAAGGAGATTGTCTAATACAATGGAAAACAAAAATATTCTTACTTAATTTACAAAATAAATTCTGAATACTCTAAAACAAATGTCAAATAGCCCCTGCATTGACAATTTTGGCACTGAATTAATGTGCAATGACAAAAACAGTATTCTTTCTTCATTAAATCAAAATAACTACCTTATTGTAATACCCATAAGTGATCGCATTGGGGTCAATACCAGCTTTCTGCATTTCAAAAAGCACTCGGACTGCAAGCACAGGCTGGTCATACTGTCCACAGAGCTGCATGAGAATGCGGTAGCACACCTGCAATACAAGTTGAGACATGTACAGAAACATACTTATATACATAAATCTGAAGTAAAACAACATTTTGGAACATATATATCACCTCATCAGGTGGATCCATCTTCTTCAGCTGCATTTTTTTAAGCACATCATATGCTGTTTTCAGAGCCCTGACTTTGGAATGACAAACTTTTACATAAGCTGGGAGACAAATAAACCACAATCCATAACAGTGACGCAGTAGACACCTAGACCACATTTGAGGGATAGAAGAATATCTCTTCGCAATTTTATGGGCTGATTTAATTTCCTAGAAAAAAATTCCAGTATCTCATTAATACATGTACACATTTAGGCATCCTTAGTTAAATGAATAGTGAACACAGCAAAGTCACATGCTTTTGTAATATTTCCTTAACAAAACCTGTCTATAATTAATATATTTTCAAATCTCCTCTTAAATCTGTATTGTACACTATGTAAAATAAAGTTCTAGGACAAGGTAACTTGGTTAATTTCCTGAAATCAAATTACTACAAACTATCTTCAGAGTGCATAAAGAACATAATCATCTAGTAAAGATTACATTTGGGACAGTAAAGTTTATTAAGAGAGGATGAATATAGAATTTATTTATTTTCTTCTGAGGTAGGGTCTCTCTGTAGCCCCAGTTGGCCTGGAACTCACTATGTAGACCAGGCTGACCTCGATTTCATAGAGATCCATCCGACTCTGCCTCCCAAATGCCGGGATTAAAGGTGTGTGCTACAATGCCTGGCCTCATATTTACTTCTTGTTCTAGTATTTGATTACAGGAGGAACAGAAAGCTTTCAAAGCACCTGTTTTGTTCTTCTGAACATGGGAGAAGGGCTACTAGGACTACTTGATTTCAAAGGCAATTTGTTCTTTTGTACTTGTAGAAATCCTTCAGGCCTCTCAAATAAATTGTTCCTAAGAACTGGAAATCCATTATAGCTGTTTCAGAAAAGAAGAAAAAAAATTCAATCATAGATGGTTACTAGCTAAAAGAATTATGATCAAATAACTCCTTAACCCAGAATTTATCTTTATCACATTATGATACATACTCAACAAATATTTCTGCTAATGTTACTTTTCTTACTTTAATATTTAGATATGTAATAATCAAATACAGACTCAATCTGGGAGTAAAAGGGGAAATACATTTAAATGAACTTGACATCAAATTCCAAAGCAACTCCAGCAAACTTTCAGAAATTAGTATTTATGTAAATACATAGCAAATACATTAGTAAATGTCACTGTTGGTAAAGTGGTAAAGGGTCCAATAAAACAATACTCTTTTGTCCCCCACCCCCCATGCCGGAGCTGAGGATCAAACCCAGGGCCTTGCGCTTGCTAGGCAAATGCTCTACCACTGAGCTAAATCCCCAACCCCAAAACAATACTCTTTTAAACAAGACAGCCACTGATACTGTTGCTTGGATTGAGATAATTATTCTTCCTCTCAAAAAGATGTAAACACCCAGCACTCAGGAGGCAGAGGCAGATGGATCTCTGTGAGTTCAAGGCCAGTCTGGTCTACGTAGTGAGTTCCAGGATAGCTGGGGCTACAGGGAGACCCTGTCTCAAAAATACCAAAAAAAAAAAAAAAAAAAAAAAAAAAAAAAAAAGTTGTAAATAACTGGCAGTGTAACATCAGCATACCAGGCCTGTCTCACTTATCTTGATTGTCTTATCAGGTTAGCTAGTGGGTTTAGGACCTCATTCAAGAGAAAGAAAAGCAAACTGTGATTCAATGAATTATAAATATGAAATAATTCTAGAATCTTTAAAGTATTGGTGGAGAATAAAAAAATTAAAATCTGAAAGGAAATGCAATTTTAGGTAAAAACAAATGTATAGTACCCAAAACTAAATAATAAATCTACCTCTATCAAAGTTTTTATTTTGCTATACTCAGAACTTTTCTGCCTTCCCCACTAGACTTGACTGCAGGGGGAATGTATCAGTTAAGACTATACATCAAGCACACAGCAGTCTCCTGTAAATCTCCTAAATTAACAACATTCAATTTTAATAATTCTGAAATTTCATGTCTTAAAAATTCACTGAAAAATGAATAGTTCAAAATTTATATCATACAAATTAAGGCCAGATATTGACTTTAAATTACATTCACAATTTTTTGTAAGTCAGTTACATTAATCAATGCATATACAAAATAAAGAGGGTAGAAGTGAGGAAATCAGCTTTAGTGAGAAGCAAAAATCAAAATTCTATAATAAAAGTGCTACATGTGAATGTGTGTGGTCTAATAATTTATTATTGATGAGACTACTTGTATAGATATAATTAGAGAGCTGTCCAAGCCTATTTTATACAAAATTATAATTTTTTCCTGTTTATGCCTCAAAACTTAATAATGGATGTGGGATAAGCTTGCTTACCACCTAAAAATTAGGGATCTGTAAAGTTTGGATTTTGAAAATACCACAGTCCTTAGAAAGCTACGTCACAGATGATGGATTGCTTCTCTCTCAATCTCAAACATTCTGCTTCTTGAATACCTGTACTGTAAAGGGGGTTCTTCACCATTGGGTAGATGGGGGATCTCAGGTGGTGTTACAAAAACAGTATGTTCACTTTTGAAAGATTCATCCAGTTCTATAAGTCGCACTTCACCACTTTTGTCCATATCCACCTGAAGGAGTTTGAAAAACAACAGTTTAGAAAGCCACATCAGTTAGGCAACTGTTAATCTATATGGTAATAGTTAATTAAATAAATCATTTGCAAAAATGGATCCTAAAGTTCTATTTTTACAAAAGTGCCTTAACTTGCTAAGCCATCTTGCAGACCCTATTTCTAATTTTTAAAAATTTATTATTTATTTTACCTTTGTGAAGACAGGGTCTCACTATGTAGCCTCGCTGGCCTGGATCTCAGTAGGTACCAGGCTGGCCTCCAACTCCACCTGCTTCTGTCTCCTGAATGCTAGGATTAAAACTGTATCCCACCATGCCCAACTCCCTATTCCTAATTTTTTAAAGAGGGTGATTATGTATGGTATGATATATTTGTACATGTTCTCTTTTTTCCTCTCAAACACACACATACACATCATCATCATGTTAACTATGGGTGATAGCATCATTAGCAATTAATTCATATTATTCTTTATTTTTTTACTTCCAATTAAGATAATGAGTATGCATTAGTGTTACTTGATTTTTTTAAAAAGACAAAGTAAATATTCAGAATAAAAATGTAAACAAAGGAGAATACATTATTGCTGGAACCACCACTTATTTCCATCCTACTGAAGGATATTTAAAAGCCTCTTGGTATAAAAGAAGCTTCCTTTCTTATTTTAGTATGTCAAAAAGACTTTCAGGCAGCCATGTGCAGGCCTTTCCTCCTGGTAACACTGCTAGAACTGCCTGCTTTTTTGTATTAGATAAGTCTAATTTGTCCTTTTCCTTCTTTGTTTTTCTTTCAGATACCAGCCCAAATCCTAAGGATGCTTTTCCCAGCACACTGGACTTTCTCACTTTCTCTGACTCCCCCTTTCCCCTTCTGCCATGCAGCTTGTCACCCTTCCTTGCTGAACATGCCAGACCCTAACTCAAATGGCATGACTGTCTTTCTTCCTCTTATCCATCTCCTTCTTCCCAGCAGCTGCCAAGATTTATAGCTTGCCTGTTCTATTGTTTTTCTCTCAAACTCTTAATAAAATTGTTCCTTGAGCTTCCTTCTGGGGAAAGAAATATTTTTATATGGGGTCACTAGCAATGACATAATAAATAGAATAGCACCTTGCACACTGTTGGCAGGGGCTCTACCCCTAAGCTACATACCCGGTCTGGTACAGTCATTTTTAGAAAGCAAGATATGTTCAAACATTTCCACCATTCTTTTTTATGAAAATAACATACTATGAAAAAACATCTATAAGCACTAAATATGTTTTTGTAGGTTTGCAATAGTAACTAACTAGAAGTAATGTATATGTCAAAGAATAGATAAGTAAAGGGCAGTAAATTCACTGGATGAAATATAGTCACTGAAGGTTAAAACAAACAATTGTGTAGACTTCTGCTTGAACAACACAAAGACAATGCAGTAGTTTGCCTTCAGTACTTCTTAAAATCTCATCAAAATGACAGTAAGGAGGCTAGAAAGAAAAAAAAAAAACCTCCAAAGACAAAATTTTACTGAAAGAGGGGTGGGGGACAACAGCAGAGCTAGAGTTCAAAACATTTCAGAAGCTGCAAAATAAACTGATGCGACTTGTGAAAACCCCACAGCACTGATTTGGCATTGGGAAAAGGAAGCTGGAGGATGGCCAAAATGCAAGCTGTTTTGCTCTGTTGTGCTTCAGATAGGACAAGAATAAAAAGTGCTATATGGGGGCTAGGGAGATAGCTCAGTGGGTAAAGTGCTTGCCACAAAAGCAAGAGGACCTGAGTTCATATCCTTAGCACCCACATAAAACCTGGGTGAGGTGTAATGCATCTGTAAAACCTAGTGCTGGGTATGTGGAAACAGGAGGATCCCAGGGCTGCTAGAGGTCAGTCAGTCTAGCCAATCAGTTGAGCATCAGGTTCAGTGAGAGACCCTGTTTCAAAAAACAAGGTAGAGAGTAATAAAGGCACCCAACTTCAACCTCTGGCCTCCACATGCACCCACACATACACATATACAAACATACATATACACTGTACATGCACATGTGCTACATAGCTTTGAAGTTGGGAATAAAGTGAGATTGAAACAGGTGGATTAGTACCCTCATTTAAGGACTCCCAGATCCATATGAACAAGCCAAGAGTTAAAACATTAGCTTTCACCAATGCTGGCAGAGTACTAGGACTTTTTTGGTTTTTGTTTACTTGTTTTTTCCTGGGTGAACCAAAGGGACTTTACATTTAAAAACACTAAGGGAGATGAGGGAGGTTACTGAAAACAAGTAAAGTAAGCAAACATCTACATGCTACAATAAGGAGAAACCCTTTCCCATTCAGCTGTGAGAACAGAGGCAGTTAGGCTTATGATCCCAGGTTAGAGACTACATTATACTAATTGTGGAAATAATCTGCCTAAAAGAAAATAATTACAGGGACTTAAGAGATGGCTCAATGGGTAAAGTGCTTGCTGTGCATGAAGACCTGAGTTTGGAATCCCAGCCCCCATGTTAAAAAAAATGGCGATGGCAGTGCACGTCTCTGATCCCAGTTGGGGGAGGGGTGGAGACAGGTGGATCTTGAGGTCTTCTGGGCAGCCAGCCTAGTTGAAATGGCAAGCTCTAGGTTCAATGAGAAACTTTGCCTCAAAAATTAAAGTGGAGAAGTGACTGAGGAAGAAATCCAACACCAACTTCTGGCCTCCACACATACCCACATGGGTAAGTGTACTCACACATACACACACATATACCACCTCCCCCTCAAAAGAAAATAATTACAGACAATGATAAAACATGGAGTCAAATGAAATAGTTAGGCTCTCTTTTTGTTATCAACCCACACTTATAGAAATGCAATAAAAATATCAGTCAAAAGAAGGCAAAAGGCACAAGGAAAATTAATAACTTAAAAACAAAATAAACAAATATAAAAAGGCACTCATAAGAAGAGAGAGAATGCAGGGAGGAGAAACCTTTAAAATAACTAGGAAAGTAACCCTACATCCATGAAGTAAGAACAAGATGCTTTATTAAAAAAAGAAACATTTGGTGAATTGTAAGGAAATGGCAAATACGATACCAGAAATAGAAGGACTAGAAGATAAAATTCTCAAAAATATAAAGACAGAGGCTGGGCATGGTGGTACACGCCTTTAATCCCAGCACTTGGGAGGAAGAGGTGGGTGGATCTCTGTGAGTTTGAGGCCAGCCTGGTCTACATAGCGAGTTCCAGGCCAGCTGGGGCTGGCTACAAGGAGACCCTGTCTCAAAAAGACCAAAAAAAAAATTATATATATCTATATATACAGAGAGAAAATGAGGTGAAAAAAGAAAATAGGAGGATCAAGCTAAAAAAGTCAATATTCAAATTCATATTTCAGGAAAAAAGAGAACAGGGGAGAAAAGGAAAAAATTTAAATGCAAGAAAAATTTCTAAACTGAAGGAAATGAAACCACAAATTAAAAGAACCTACACATGTCCAATTTGTTGAATAAAAAGGACCTTTGCAAGGCAGAGAAAGAGAGAGAGAGAGAGAGAAAGAGAGAGAGAGACAGAGAGAGACAGAGAGAAATCAGAGAAGTCTAGAGACAAAGGTGATGATAGACTTCTTGGCAACATCTTACTGGAGGTAAAAGACAATACACGATACAGCAGTGAATTTCTTTCTTTCCTTCTTTCCTTCTTTCCTTCTTTCCTTCTTTCCTTCTTTTTCCTTCCTTCCTTCCTTCCTTCCTTCCTTCCTTCCTTCCTTCCTTCCTTCCTTTTCGGTCTTTTTGAGACAGGGTCTCCCTGTAGTCACCTTTGGCCTGGAACTTATTATGGAGACTAGTCTGGCCTCAATCTCACAGAGATCCACCCACCTCTGCCTCTGAGTGCAGGGACTAAAAGTGTGCGCTACCACACCTGTCTGAATTTCAAATTTTAATCCAACCAAATTAGCAATCGAGTAGTAGCAGGGAGGAAATTTTCAGATAGGCAGGGTATCAAAAACTGTATGCCTCTATGAACTCTTTCTCACTAAGTTACTGGAAGATGTGCTTCACTATAACAAGGAAATACATCAAGAAAGTAGTCACTGAAGCCAGAAAACAGGGCATTCAATTCTAGAGTGGTTAATGTAATTACCAAGGTGATAGAGGAGGACATATGATAGAATAGAAAGTTCCAATGAGAATTTTAAAAATCAAATGGATAACCTGATGTATTGGAAAGTGTTTTGTTTTGCATAAGGGTTTTGAGATGAATTAGTAACAAACGCAAGACAAAACTAGATTTCAGGGAAAGCAAAATACTAAAATCCTGTATTTCTTAGTGTAAAGTCAAATATAATTTAAAACTTTGCCCTATAGATTCAACTCCCTTGGTAAAAAGACATTTCCCTTTAATTGCACATAAAATTTTGCATTGTAAATATAGCAATGTCACAAAGCCTATGTTTATTGTTTTAACAACTCTCTCTTTTTGAAAGTACAGTGACATCTGTCTCTAGTGAGAGAAAAAGAAATCCAACACCCACAGCAGGATAAAATTAAAATAATTTTCATATCCTCTTTATATTATTCCATGACATTAATATGCTCAGAAAACAGTACAAAGAGATGCCTGACAAAGAAAAATACCTCAGCAGACTATTTGTTACACAAAACTGCCCTTACTTAGTTAAGTACCATCCTACAGGAACAGATTGCAAGGATTTAAAATATAATCATATGAAGAAGCAGCACACATGGTTCCTAAATTAATCATAAATGAAGCACAAATAATTCTCATATATTGTTTTTCTCATTTCTATTCAGCATTACTCATTTTAGATTTCAACATTCAGTCAAATGTTTTCAGTTTGGATATGCTAAAATCAAAAGAAGAAAATGTCTAATTTCTGTCCAATCATAGGCATGGACTAGTGGAGAGTTAATAAGCATCTAATTTTATTTATTTTTCATAGCTAAACTGCTAGAGGCTAGAGGGTTTGTTCACTTAGAAAATGATTTCAGTCATTCAACTAAAGAACAACCTCCGCATAAATGACTATTCTTAAAGTGCACTGACATCCTGAAAACATTTGCAGATTAAAAGTATTTATAGGGCCAGGCATGGTGTTGCATTCCTTTAATCCTCGCACTAGGGAAGCACAGGCAGGTGGATCTCTGTGAGATCTGAGGCCAGCCTGGTCTACATAACATGTTCCAGGCCAGTTGGGGCTATAGGGAGATCCTGTCTCAAAAAAAAAAGTATATACTGAATTTTGGTTCTTAGTGTTCTTATTGGGGTAATAAAGTATGAAAGGCAGTAACACACTGCACTTATATTTCAGGGGGTTCTGCTTCATAATACTAGAGACACAATTAGCTTCTGTTAAATTGTTAAAGTTTATTAAAATATACACTAGATACTTTACTTTCTCTAATAAGTGTGTTCCTTGAATTATAGAAAACAAACAAACAAACAAACAAACATAAGTAACTTCACTTTAGTGTACTAATTCTCAGGATATTTGTTTTTGTCACATTTAGGGACTGAACCAAGGGTCTTGATCAATGCTAGGTAAATGTTGTACAACTGAGCCATATTCCTAGCCTAATTCTCAGTTTTGTTTTTCTGACTAGTCATTAAAATCTTTAAGTATAATGTTAGTCCAGTGTACGTATATAAGTGATCTTTCATTGAATCTAGAAAGTTATATCTAGAAATACCGTTATACATTAATTGATTTTATTTTTTGAGACATCTTGGAATTTGTATTTTAAAAGGAATTGTTCAAGTCATCTACTGCATTGACTCCTATCATATAAATATCAGGTGACCTATAGAAAATGCTAGACAATCTAATGTATTATCAGAATTAAGAGATTCTCTTTAGGACATGATATCCTAGGGACTGAGTGAAATTTAAGTCTTGTATGTCTTACAATGTGAATTGGTATTTCATTAAACCAGACAACACTACAGTATAAGTTTAACTGAAGCAAGACTTGTGGATAAAATGCATTAATGAATCAAAAAGAAAACAATATTAATTGTTAATTGGAGTCCTACGAATAATTCAGTGTTCCTAGGTGGGTTAATAAACTTATTCACTAACACATGCTATTAGCTAAAACTTGGCTACTAATTTGGTCCCATATGATTCAATTAGCTTGGCACAGAAATAGCTTATACAAATGTATGCTATTGTTCACAAGGGAATCTCTGTGAGCACATACATTTGGCCAGTGAAAACTTGGCATCATATGGGAAAGGCATTCAAAGTTCATGATGCTAGTTGGAATCATATTTACATGCATGTGTATGAATGTGTGCACGCACATGTGTGAATGCATGCATGTGTGTGTATCTATGTGTGTATAACACCCACAATTATTCCTGTAACAAAAGGATATAGAGAAAAATTTAAAGATATACCTCCCTGCTTATTGCCAATATTTTGTTTTACAAGGCAAGCTTAGTGTGTTAAAATATTGAAAAATGGGGGGGAAGAGAACGGTTCAGTGGTCAAGAATGCTCACTGTTCTTGCAGAGAAACCAAGTTCAGTTCCAAGCATGCACATCAGGTGGCTCACAACAGCTTGTAAGTCCAGTACCAGGGGATCTGACACCTCTGGCTTCTGTAGTCACCCACACTAATGTTGACACACCCACACTCAGACACATACACATAATTAAAAAATAATAAAAATAAAAATTTTAAATATTGAAAAATAAAGTCTTGGTACAATGCTGCACTGACAGGTCTGAGAAAGTGCCTAGAACATTATCTCCTCTTTAAAATAGAGCTCAGCTGGGCGTGGTGGTGCACGCCTTTAATCCCAGCACTTGGGAGGCAGAGGCAGGCAGATTTCTGTGAGTTCAAGGCCAGCCTGGTCTACATAGTGAGTTCCAGGACAGCTGGGGCTACAGGGAGACCCTGACTCAAAAAGATAAAAAAAAATAGAGCTCAACTTAAAAAAAGGTAGCATTCTAAGAATCTATTTATAAATAAATTATTTAAAATAGAACATACAAACCTTCTGCTTGAACATAACCCTCTCTGGGGTAAGGAAAATGTTCTATATTTCTGAACCATTTCTATGGTTTCATAAAAATATACAATTGTCAAAAATTATCAAATTGTATACTTATTGGTTCACCAAGTTGGACGTTGGTGCAGTCGTTACTCTGGTCATGGCTTCCCTCGCTGGGTAAATACATGTATGCATGTTGATGTACGTATGTTGTGTCCCTCTCCCCCTGAGAAAGTCTCTTACACAACACTATTGTGAAACAGGGACCTGACAGAACCAAATATGAGCTGGGGATGAATGACTACATCGTCCTAGCAAAGCATACAACTGAGGCTAAACAAGCTGAGGGAGGAATGGCCATGGAGGAAATCCCAACATGGCTACCTTTCCCTATGTGGTATGAAGAGCATGCCTTCTTGCTATGTCAGTGGTTGCATGGCCCCTACAAGGGGTGCTAAGACATGCAACCAAGGTACAGTTCTCTACCCAGAGGGAAAGTTAGCAGGGGAAATCACAGAGGGGCTGTCTTCCTCCATGTTGTATGGTGTGGCATGCCTGCTTGATGAGTGCAGTCAACATGAGCATGGAGGCTCCCTGGGAATGGTTAAATGTTTAGAGCTAATTCTGCAATCCCTGGGAGTAATACTTATGGGACTAGAGTATTGGCAAGCTACCAAGGAGGTGGCCTGAACCCATGGTAGGAGAAAACTGACTCCTAAAAGTTGTCCTCTGACCCCCACACACATGCGTACACATCGACATACACTAGTAATAATACTAATAATAAATAAAAAATAATGAAAATATGCTCTGTGATTTCTAGCAGGTCACCAAAAACTCTCATTGTAAGCGGTCAATTATAATAATCAAATTATTTTATATTTTGTTAAAATCTACAAATAGAAACAAAAACATTTATAGTAGTCACATAGAATAAGTTAGGGCACTATAGACACACTGTTACTTACTTTATCTACACAATCATCAAAAAATGCCAGGCTTGCATCTTTATCACTGACAAAAGAACACTCCTCAATGAAGCGAATAAACATTTGCGTTTTGGTCATCATGTTATAGAATTTTTGATGTGATCGGTCCCGGCTTCTTAAGAAAGCTATTCAATAAAAATATACAATGTGAGAATAGATTTATAGATTCAGAAACTTTTGTTGCTAAAAGAAACTTGATCAACCATGTTATTTACGCCCTCATTTTCTCCATTACTTTGCAGAAACAAAACAAAACAAAACAAAACAAAACCAACTAAGGTCTCTGAGCAGGAGAATGACCTGACAAACAAGAAAGCAACAGGACAAGCCACAGGAAAGGAATGTAATACGGACAGCTCAAACTGTCATCTGAATTATCCCATTATCTTGAAGATTACATGTGAACTATCAAATTTCAATTCTTGCAATCACTACTTTTGTACAAATAGTTTGCATATTGTACATACATGTGTTCTCTGGTTCTTGTTCTCTTCTTGTATATAGATATATTATTTAAAGCTATAAACTAAATGTGTTAATTCTTATTACTTTTTTATTGCTGACATTCTTGACTATAAACTGAAAGTGGCCATGTCTCTTTTTTTCTATCTCTTCTGATTAGTAACATATATCCAATGCCTAGACTCTGGAGGCACTGCGCATATACTTACTAAGGGATTTTCTCTTTCAAATATTAAACACTATAAGAGAAAGTAAATATATATCATGACGTCAAATGCACTCTGTGGTTTTCTAACTTTTTTTTTTCTTTGCAGCAGAGACAGAAAGTACTATCTGTAAAGCAGACTGAAATAAAATAAATGAGGCTATTCAAGCCTGGAGTTACCCATCCCAGGGGTTCCTCTGCATCTTGTATACTGTCTGGCAGCCCTGAAAGCTGAAAGCATCAATATCTCAACACATATGTGACACAACATAGTGGAACACAACATGATTAGAAGGTTCTGTAGTTTTCAGAGTTTCTTCTATGAATCTTTCTAATAGGATTCCATTTAATGAATCAGGGAAAGAACTCATCCTATAGAAATGGATCAGCAGAGTTGGCACTCACTCACTTCTCAGAGTAGGCTAGGTATGTGCTTTGGTAAATATGAATTATTAACTCAAAGACCAATTGGAAAATCACAAATTTAAGCTTAATAATATGAAAGTTATAGAACCATATAATCACTCACCTTGAAGGGCAAAAAGAGAGGTTGCATCAGTTGCTGTCTCAGATGGGGCTTGTGTTATTGGCCTTAAATATGATCTATAACCTTTTAAAATAGAGGCCATGAAAAACAAAAATGCCTCTTGGATTTCCAAATCTATCATGTGCAACCTTTTTCCAGAATTAAAGTCATAATCATTCATTGCTAAGTCCATTAGTCCATCGTCTCTTGGTCTCTGCTGCACTGTGAAGAGATACAGTATTGATATTTTTGACAATCTCTCAAAAATAATGCTCAGACCAGTTTTAATGTTAATATGTTATATTTTCGAAAGAGTTATATGATCTCAACTCTTCACTTATATAACTTCTAATATGTAAAGCCACGCATGGTGGTGCATGCCTTTGATACCAGCACTCGTGAGGCAGAGGTAGATGGATCTCTGTGAGTTCAAGGCCAGCCTGGTCTACATAGTGAGTTCCAGGCCAGCTGGGGCTACAGGGAGACCCTGTCTCAAAAAGACCAAATAAACAACTTCTAATATGTAAACCTTAAGAAAACTTGCTCTTTCATTTTTAAGATTCTGTTGAATTATATTTTATCTAAGTTAAACAAAATTACTCCTGTAAACTAACAACCATAGCAACTGGACACTAGATAAAATGCAGTAGTCCTTTTCCTTCCATTTTTCTTAAAATATAAGTGCCTACAGGACAAACACATAAGGATAAAATAAAATAAAATAAAATAAAATAAAATAAAATAAAATAAAATGCTTCTTCCTAGGCAACTCTATGCTAAAGCCAACAGGCAGTAAAAGAGTAACTTGACAATAGTGAAAGAGTGCACTGCCTGATAAGAATGTGGTAAGAGGAGTAGAGCAGCACTTCTGCAGAACTCCTGCCAAAGATGCATGGCCTGAAGTTACATGTGGACTCCCAGACAAAATCACCTCAGGGACCATTTTACAATGTAAGTATAACTTTCAACAGTAACAAGAATATGAAGGAAGCTGGGAATGGTGATACATGTTTTTAATCCCAGCACTCAGGAGGCAGAGGCAGGTAGATCTATGAGATGAAGGCCAGCTCAGTGGGTAAAGTGCTTGTTGTATAAGAAACATGAGGGACTTAGGTTTGGATCCCAAGCACCTACATAAAAGCCAGGAATAGTGGTGTGCAACTGTAGGGAGGATGAGCAGAGACACAGGAGGATCCTAAAGGCTCACTGGAGCGCAATCTTCTTGGCAACACGATGCTTGAGGAAGATGCATGTCAACTTTTAGCCTCCACATGCAATTAAAAAAAAAAAGTAGGAGCCAGAGGTGACGTAGCACGCCTTTAATTCTAGCACTTGGAAGACAGAGACAGGCAGATCTCTGTGAGTTTAAGGTCAACCTGGTCTACACAGCAAGTTCCAGGCTAACCAAGGATAGATAATGAGACCCTGTCTCAGACAAGACAAAACAAAACAAAATGCAGGAAATCTTGCTCTTGGTATTCATGGCTGTATCTTCTGCTTTCTGTTCTTCTCTAAAGCTAAAAAGTCTACTTCACTGGTTTTAGTATTGCTACACTAGCTATTGGACTTCTTACTTTTCCAAAGAAGTATGAGGATTTTTAGAAAGCAAATTATCTAGGTAACAAAATTATCTATATAATTTATTTATTCCATAAGATAAAATCTTGTTATATTTTGTTTTAAAAAAATCCCAGGGATGGGGCTGGAGAGATGGCTCAGCAGTTAAGAACACTGGTTGTTCTTGCAGAAGACCTGGGTTTGAATCCCAGCACCCACATGGCAGCTAACAACTGTCCATAACTCCAGTTCCAGGGGATCTGACAGCCTCTTCTGTCCTCCGCGGGCACTGCATGACATGGGTGCACTTACCTACATGCAGGTAATACACGCATACACATAAAATAAAAATTAAAAAAATAATAAAAATCCCAATGTTTTGTGGAATTATCTAGTTGCTATCAAATTTACTTTATAACACTGTATTTTTTTCATTCCATTCCATTTTCAACTATATTGTAAGTACTTTGAGCCTTCATAGGTGTAGGCTACATCTTATGCTTACATTTCAGTAATAATTAAGTGATAGCTTTATATATTGCCACATCACCATTGTCCATATATTACATGATAAGTATTAAATTATATATTCTGAGTGGATCATTGTTATAACACTAAGATAATTCAAGATATAAAAGTTTAATTCTTAATAATTCTGGATCACTGTCAAGATATATTCTATATGGGAGTAACCAACTGGATTTAAGTAAGGCCTGCTTCACAAGATGGGGTTCATATCTGATATTGTTACTGGGATCAAGAACCTGTGGCTAAATAGGTCAAGACCACAGGAGAGCACCTACTACTATCATGCTGCTAAACACACATACTATTGAACTGACTCATAATAATTTATTTTTATACTCATAGATTAGTGCACATCTCATCTCTCACCAGAGAAAGTTCTTAGAACAGATAGAGATTAACACAGAGACCCACAACTAGTCAATATGCAGAGACTGTGGAGTGTTCAGTCCTAAATGGGACACTATATCGTACCCTCTCCTCCCAAGGCTCAAGGATCACTGCAGAAAGATTGTAAAAGCCAGATGTGGTACATGAATATAAGGAAGCTGTGTTGTCTGGACACCACAGGGGAGTTGCACATATAAACCCACAACACTTAAGAAAGCATGCATAAGACAAGCCAAACAGGGTCTAGCATGGATGAGGGAGGTGGGCAGGAAGCTCCAGTCCTAGCTGAGGATCTATTGGTAATTGATAGATGCGGAAAAAGGGAAAGTCAGTTTTTCTTACTGATATGATACCTGATGTGGACAAGACTCCAAGGGATGGACCCATACCCGAGAGTATTTAGGAAACACAGATAAGACTTGATAGGCCTTAAAAAAAGACAAATGGGGGTGAAGAGATGGATCAGTGGTTAAGAGCACTGGCTGCTCTTGCAGAGGACCTGCATTTGATTCCCAGCACCCACATGGTGGTTAATAACCATCTGTAACTCCAGTTCCAGAGGATCTGACACCCTCTTTTAACCGCTGCAGGCATTGCACAGGTGCACTTACACACATGCAGGCAATATACTCACACACATTTAAAAGAAAAAGACAAATGATAACAGAGGGCATGAAGTTGGGGGCGGGGAATAAGATCTCAGTGGAGAAGGGGTCTGGAGATATGTCAAAATACATTGTATGAAATCCTCAAATGAATAAAAATATTTTTTAAAGCTATAAAAAGACAGCTTTCCTTTGTGGTCAGGATAATGGATAATCAAAATAATAAATGTTCTTGGTAAGAACCTCAAAAAAACATATATTCTCACATAACCTTATTTTCCTAAAATATTTTATATTCTAAAATAAATTTTCATTTTTATTAATTTCTTTATCATTTTCATGTTTTAGAAAATGTCAAATGGTTTCAAGATAGACATTAGGAGCTACTGTGGGTAAAAGGTTATGAGCTAGCTCTTACTTCACTGACATCAGCAGCATTTTCTAATGTACTTTCAACTACTTGCCCTCGATTTCTAAAGCTTTCAATTCTACATATGAAAGAAAATATGCCAGTGGAAATCTTTATTTTTTCATGTCATTTCAGTAATGGTAAAATTCAAGAAAAGACCACTTTAAATGCCCTTTTTTGTTTTATTATTCTAAGATGGGTCCTATGAAATCTGTACATTGTAAAATACTTATTTACAAATCACTCATTCAGCTTCTAACAATTTTTCTTCATTTGCCTTAAAGATTGTAAAAATTCTTTAATTAATTAATTAACTAACTTTCTTTTGTCTTTTTGTGATAGGGTCCCCCTGTAGCTCCAGCTAGCCTGGAAATTGTTATGTAGATCAGGCTGGCCTTGAACTCACAAAGATCTGCCTACCTTTGCCTCCCAAGTGCTTTGATTAAAGACATGCACCACCATGCCTGGGTCAATTTACTTTTTTTATGAGACAGGGTCTTACTATGTAGACCTGACTAGCCTGAAACTCATTATGTAGCCTAGGCTGGCCTTGAACTTTGGATGACTTTTTGCCTCAGTTTTCCAAGTGCTGGGATTACAGGTATGAGTTATAATACCCAACTAACACTTTCTTTTAAATAAATATCCCTTTAAAGTAAAATGCTCACTTTAGCAACATATACACTAAAACTGGAATAATACCAAGAAGAAGGACCCTGGGCAAGGATGACATGTAAGCTTATGAAATATTCCATATTTTAAAATCACAACTTTTCTTAGATAAAAAAAGAAAAAAAAGTCAGCCAAATTAATTAAGTTTCTCAGATTAAATTACATCCTTTAATTAAGTTATCCATTTATAGTCAGTGTTGTGGTGCACACCTTTAACCTCAGCACTCGGGAGGCAGAGGCAGGTGAATCTCTGTGAGTTCGAGGCCAGCATGGTCTACATAGCGAGTTCTAGGCCAGCTGGCTACAGAGAGACCCTGTTTCAAAAAGATTTAAAAAAAATGTTATCCACTTACATTTTGCCAATTGTTGGTGCAAATTATTCAGTGTATTCATCAGATTTTTGCATGGCTTCTTTGGAAGAATCTTCCAGGCTATGTTCTTTTTGTCACCGGTTCTGAGATTAAATGACAACAATATATTTGTTACATGAACCTTTGGAGGGGGTATATTCTATCTCTCTAACACACACACACACACACACACACACACACACACACACACACACATAAAACAACACAGAAAAAAAAAACAAACACACACACAGACACATTGAACAAAAACTGAAACACATTCAGAATAGTCTAATTAATGAAGAAAATTCAATAGAGGCAGTTTGAAATGGTGAATATTTAAAACTAATGCATGAAGATAGAACTTTTACTAATATATAGTTCAAAATTTTATAATTACATTAGTACAGAGTATATAACACTTGCTCTGGGACTGAGCTAATCATCATGAAGCTTATTGAGGTGATCTTTTTTCTTTTTTGGTCTTTTTGAGACAGGGTATCCCTGTAGTGCCAACTGTCCTGGAACTTGCTATTTAGACCAGGCAGAGATCTGCCCATCTCTCCCTCCCAAGTGTGGGATCAAAGGCATGTGCCACCATGTCCAGCATAATGAAGAGCTCTTTACTCTTCAACTTCATGTGAGAATGCTTGAACACCTAAATAGTGGGAAAACCTTACTACAACAGCTTTTTTCTTTTTCTTTCTTTCTTTCTTCTTTCTTTCTTTCTTTCTTTCTTTCTTTCTTTCTTTCTTTCTTTCTTCTTTCTTTCTTTCTTTCTTTCTTTCTTTCTTTGAACCCAGGGCCTTGAGCTTCCTAGGCAAGCGCTCTACCACTGATCCTTCCTTTTCTTTTTTTTTTTGTTCTTTTTGAGACAGGGTCTCCCTGTAGCCCCCAGCTGTCCTGGAACTCACTATGTAGACCAAGCTGGCCTCAGACTCACAAAGATCTGCCTGCCTCTGCCTCCCAAGTGCTGGGATTACAGGTGTGTGCCATCACACCCAGCCTAACAGTTTTTTCTTATAGAAGAAAAAGTATTACAGAAGACTTTCAATTAACTTATGATACATAGACTTTATTAAAATACTTCACTAATTTTTTTCAGAAAAGACAATCTATTAATACTAAATCACTGGAGCAAAGTATAAAGTAAAAAAAAATTTCATAACTTTTTCTTTTTCAGTCATTTTGAGACAGGGTCCTCTGTAGTGGGGCTGGCCTGGAACTCACTATGTAAACGAGGCTGGCCTTGAACTCCCAGAGATCTGACTGCCTCTGCCTCCCGAGTGCTGGGATTAAAGGTGGGCACTACCACGCCTGGCAACTTTCATTACTTTAAAGAGAGGGAATCTACTAGGAAGTAACACCACTGTCTGTAGTGTGAGTCCCTATAATCTCCTTCATTACAGTCACTACGATCCACGTGGTCTCTAAACTACATGGGGCAGGAGCAGAAAATGGTGTGAAGTACCATAAAGTTTTTTAACTTAACTGTAGCTTTGTTTCAGTCCACCTCCAATTTATTAAACCATTTTTTTCTATTCAAAATAATACTCACTTTAGAAAATTTTAAAAAATACAGAGAAAAAGAGAAGAAAAGTAAACCATCCAAGTTTTAATCACCAAAGAACAATTTAGTGCAGGTAGGTAGTAAAACTTCCCAAGCTAGTGTTTTATTTTTTAAATGTCGCCTAAACTTCTCATACAACAAATAACTACTTTGAAAGCTGAACAAAAAAAGAGGAGAGGGGAAAGTTTAAGTTGATAAGAAGTTACTATCTTGGAATTTACCCATCTTTTCCACAAATGAGAATAAAGACAAAGCAGGTCAAAGTGCAGATGTCCTGCTGTGAAGGAATTATTATTTTTTACATTTACAGTGTGACTAGGAGCATGGTACTGTGAGAACACAATGTAGTAATACTTTTAAAAATATATTTTATTTATTCTTTTTATTTTATGTGTACAAGTGTATTGCCTGACTGTATGTGAGTGCACCCATGTCATGCAATGCCGCGGAGGTCAGAAGAGGGCTTCAGATTCCCCTGGAACTGGAGTTAAGGACGGTTCGTAGCCACCATGTGGGTGCTGGGAATCGAACCCGGGTCCTCTGCAAGAACAGTCGCTGCTCTTAACCGCTGAGCCATCTCTCCAGCCCAGTAACACTTTTTATATCACAGTCTGCTAAATATCCTTCCACTCCCCTCACCATTCACTGAATGCACACCTGACTTAGAGTAGACTTTGAACAACTTAGGGAAAGGAGTGTATTTGGTTTGTCATTTTATTCCTGGTTTCCAGTAAAAGGAGGCATTCAACATAGTTTTTGGCATAAATGAATTAAAAATATCTTGGTATCATCAGATTGTATCTGCTCCCATAATTTTCTTCTCTTGCCCTTGATATTATCTCTGTGAAATGTGGTTTGTTAGGAGAGTTTTCACCCAGCTTTTTTCTGAGTTTTTCTCTCTGACAGTCTTGTATATTTTTATTCATGCTGACTCCCATTTACAAGGTTATTATTACATAGTTACATGATTATTAGTGGCAGAAATATTAGAGTCAGAGAACTATTTCAAAATCCAGTTCTGATAGAATAAGCTATGGCCCTCAGACTGCTTAAAAATCTAAACTTTGTTTTCCTTATCTGTCAGAGGAATCATGAAATTACCTCATAAAGTACAGAGATGCAATGGGATCACTTAGGCTATACATGTGACTTCATGTGTGTCATATCCTAGATACTAATTTCCCCTTTTTCAGAATTTGATAATTAGATCATAATCTGCATTGTGTGTATCTGAGATAGAAAAAGAAAAGGAAACTATATTTGGGATTTGTTTTTCTTTCAAATTTCAGGTTGGAGTATCAGAAATTCTGGATGAAAGAAAGCTAGTCAGTCTTCCTATGGCTGGGAAAGGTGATAAAATCAAGAAGGAACAGAGAATACAGACAATTCACATTTCTTTGATTCTTTAATTTATTAATTATCAAAGTAGAGAAAATACTGGGAAGATTATTTTAACAAATGAAGTATAAAAGAAGGAAAATTTAACATTGCAATGAACACAGTAGTCATTTATTTGTTCAATTTTATAAACACTGTATCATGAAATATTTAACAAGTGACAAAAGAAATATTACTTGAATACTTAAAAGAATTAAATATTGCTGGTAAAGAACAAAATATTGTTCATAGAGAATACTTGCTTTTACCAAGCCTATATTAAAATGGATTTATTATAAAATACACTCCATACTTTCTTGGTTAATACTTTTATGAATATTAAAGCTTTTTGACAGCATGTATGCATTCAAATTTTTTTTTACTTTTTCTAAACTTTTCTAATAATTTAGGCAGTTTAAAAAAATTTTATTTATTTTTATTTTATGTGTATGTGTATATTGCCCTCATGTAGGTAAGTGCACCTGTGTCATGTAATGTTCGCGGAGGACAGAAGAGGCTGTCAGATCCCCTGGGACTGGAGTTACGGACAGTTGTTAGCTGGGATTCGAACCTGGGTCTTCTGCAAGAACAGCCAGTGTTCTTAACTGCTGAGCAATCTCTCCAGCCCCCAGTTTAGGCAATTTTTGTTTTGATACATGGTGAAGACTGAAATGCAACCTAAAATTTTGGAATTAAATTTAAAGGCTTTAAGGTGTAATACTCTTATTAAAAAATAGAGAGACTAGGAACACAGCCCTGCAGCAGAGCATGTGCTTAGCCTATATGAAGCTCTGGGTTTGAACCCTAGCACCAATAAGTAAACAGAAAAACCTATTTTATATCTATTTATTAAGTGCAAAAGCTAAACTAGCTTTGGGGCTTTACTGACAGACTAAATACTAATTATTTTAAGCATGTCCTGTGGATGCAATGTTGTTACATCAGTTTTCTCTTCCCTCACTAGATTAAGGAAAACTAAACTGAAAATATGAGCTACAAAGAAGCAACAAATTATTTTTTAAAGCTACATTCCTAGAATGTAAAGTGGCAAAATTATATATAATTTAAAGGTTACTTTAAAATTCTAATACATTAATTTTCCTGTGATATACTAGTATTCTGATAGCATTAAATTATAAATAAGACTGAAGTATGAAGTAAACCTTTTCTTTTCTTTTCTTTTCTTATTTTTGAGACAAGGTCTCACTATGTAGCCTTCAATGGCCTGGAACTCTGGAACTCACTGTATAGACCTGGCTGACCTCCAACTCACATAGATCCACCTGCCTCTGTTTCCTGAGTGCTAGGACTAAAGACATGTGCCACCACACTCAGTGATTCTTTCTATTTCTACTTTGATTTCCCTTGTGCTAAGTTTCTAAGTAAGCATAAGATTATATTTCTTTAAATATTTAAAGTCTGAGGGCTGGAGAGATGGCTCAGTAGTTAAGAGCACTGACTGCTCTTGCAGAGGACCTGGGTTCAATTCCCAGTACCCACGTGGCAGTTAACTGTTTGAAACTCCAGTTCCAGGGGATCCAACGCCTTCTTCTGACCTCCATGAGCATTGCACAACATGGGTGCACTTACATGCATGCAGGCAATACACTCATACACATAAAATAAAAATGATAAAAAATAATAAAATATAAAAATTTAAAGTCTGAGGAGTAAAAAGTCTTCTTTCTAATAAAACCATCTCTAATACCCTAAATATACTCCATTAAGGATAGCAAGAGCTGTCTAGGAGATGTTAATGACCACAAATTAAAAAAAAAAACCTCAAACGAGTGCTTATTAGCAATCATAAACCACAAATTCACATACAGATAAGATGAAGTTATGTTATTAGGTATAAAATCTAAATTGTACTTACTGAGAAATGGTGTTGGTATCCAGGTCAACACAGCTGACATCTGGGGGAGGATCATAGAGATCAAAGTATCTTGAATCAATTCCTACTATGAATGGACACGGTGCACTCAAGACATCTGCTAAAGCCAGTGGACAGAGAGGAACATACGGGCATGGCCAGTGGAAAGGGAAAATCATCTTGAATAAACAAAGGGTAGGAGAACATTAAGCATTTTGATGCTGAAGCATTAACTTATCAACACACATAAAATTATCTTTTAGATATTAATACCTAAAGCTTAATGCTTACTGATGAATTTAACAGTTGTAAGTAATGTTAAGGGTCAGGAAATTAAAACTGCTTCAACAATGTATAAATCTAATATTTTCCAAAATTTAATTAAGTACTACAATGACTTTAAATTATGAATAAATTAAGTTTAGACTGAATTTATTGTCATCAAGAAACTGATACTCACAGACACTAATGCTTCCGTCACACTAGTGAGCACAGAAGGCCGTAAAGAATGGATGAGGATTTTATGTTCTGTTACTGCAAACACCAGCAGTGTTACGGCATTTTCAGGGCCAAGATTCTGAAGTAGTGTTGAAAACTTGCCTCCACTGTCAATCCAAACAAAAATACACAAGTAAAAAATAAAGATCTAAACTCCTAATCATTTGTAACAGTGGGATAGCATATATTTAAATGTGATTACTACTCTTTGGCAGGGAAAACATAATATCATAAGCAGTATGAAAATAATGTGACGTTATAAAGTTTCAAAGTAGTTCACCCATCAGGCACTGTATTTAATATGAAAAGTGAAAAGTTGTCTACTTCTTCTGTTTGTTTTTCTTTTTTTCATTATTCTTGTTGAGACAGAATCTTGCTATGTAAAATTTGGCTTCCAATTGGTTATTTTAATTCAGTCAGTTCAAATAATGCTTTGGTTAGATGCTAATCCTTTACTGGAAGTCTTTTTAATATAGTACATCTTTCAGTGTGATTGTCAGGGGAACTACAACTTACTGGCTCAGCTCCCTTAGGTAAATACAAACATTAAGTTTTGGATTTATGAATAGATATGTCTTACTATTATAATGACAATAGCAAAGGGAAACCAAGAGCTACAAAATGGCAAGACAAATACACAAAGCAAGCTAATAATCAAAACAATAAACTTAGGTGTTCTATATAATACGAAAATATTGGATTAACAAAGTAAGTGTCCACTAACCAAAGAGTATTTTGTCTATATAGTGCTAAATAACCAATTTTACTGAATTTTTTTCATTTTTAAAAATTTTATTATTTTTATTTTATGTGTATGAGTGTGTTGCCTGCATGTAGGTAAGTGCAGCCATGTTGTGTAATGCCCATGGAGGATGGAAGAAGCCGTCGGATCCCCTGGAACTGGACTTTTGGACAGTTGTTAGCTGCCATGTGGGTGCTGGGATTCAAACTCGGGTCTTCTGCAAGAACAGCCAGTGTTCTTAACTGCTGAGCCATCTCTCCAGCCCGGATTTTTTTTCATTGTAAAGAAAAATTAATGATAAAATTCTCTTGCAGGGGCTGGAGAATATTTTTTTAGAAAGTTCTCTTGCAGAAATGAAAATATATTCTCACAAAACCTGGGTATTTTCAAAGCAACATTATTCACAGAATCCAGAAATGTAAAAAAAATTCCTAAATGATGAATAAATAAAATGTAGTACATTCCTACAATGTACTACTAGTTGTAATTTTAAAAGAAATGATTCATATTACAACATGAATAAACCTAGAAATATGCTCAAAGAAGCCAACCAAATACATTATAATTTCATTTATATAAAATCTACAAAATAGAGAAATCTATAGAAGAGGCAAGCAGACTAATGGGTGCTGATATGGTATGTGCACTTGTATTTCAGCATGCTTGTACAGGAGCAGAAGGAATGAAGGTTAACTGTTAAATGGTACTTATTTTATAGGGTAGTGAAAATGTTCTAAATTTTATTACAGTGATAGCTGTAGAATTATGTGAATAAAATCATTGAATTTTATACTTGGCAAATTTTGTGGTATGGAAATTATACCTCAATAAAGCTGTTACCTCAGTGAAGTCCTTCTGGTATTTAGAATAATTCATAATCAATGTTTCTAGTTTATCTTCAGCTTAAATGAAGGCTAGGAAAACACTTGCCACTCTAGGCTAAGAGCCAGTGATGAAACAATCTGTAATTCTTACAAAATTAATGTCAAAGACGGCAGCTGGTCTCCCTTAGGTATGTGCTATATAATAGTTTAATTATACTGTAACTATTTCTGACAGAAAAATTACACAGCTAATTAAATTTTAGGAAATCATACTGTAGGGAAAGCACATCTCATCAGTTTTCTGAACTTTTATAATGAACATATTCGACTGTTAATAATTATAAGTATTTATTTTGGATTAAACTTAAAATTGAACTTGAATGCATCTCAGGTGATAAATAAAGCTAAACATGTTTTTGTAATCTACATGCATTCACAATTATGTAATAGTAAGTACTTGATAGTAAGGATACACAAAATATCAAACATTATCATAAAAGCATTTTTTCTTCAAAAACTGTAACCCTCATAATAAGTTTAAGAACAAAAGAAAAAGAAACAACAACAACAACAACAACAACAACAACTAAGAAACAGTTAAATGAAAAGCATCTCCATCAATATTTGAAATTTTAGTTGGGAAAGAGAATATTACTTTAATGGTCACGAGATTTAGAGAAACAGAAATGAAATTTGACTTGCCTTAGTGGAAGAGGTGAAGAAACAGGCTGACTGAGAATCAAATTATCATGTGGTGACAACTGGAAGATTTTAAAAATAATACATTTGAAATATAAAGACAAACTGTGAATAAGCACTTTCTGGTGCTAGGTTACTGGTGCTACCCATGAAGTTTCCCAGCTCACCAGCATAGGAGCAGTTAATATCACTGATCTCTGACCCCTTCCAACAACTTCTGACTCTGATTCCAATCTCTTTTCTTCTGTCTTCAACTTTTCCCTTATCCTATTTTAACAAATCCTTTATTAAAGGGTGTGCTAGACAGCGTCAGTTGTCAATTTGACATACTTGGAAAGAGAGAACCTCAATTGGGGAACTTCCTTTATTAGACTGGCCTGTCAGGCATTTTCTTGATTGTTGAATGATGTTGGAGGGTCCAGCCTACTGGGCATGGTGCCTCCTCTGGGCAAATGGTTCTGGGATGCATAAGACAGCAGATTGAGCACAGGCCAGAGCAGCAAGCTAGTAAGCAGCATTTCTCCATGGTCTCTGCTTTAGCTCCTGACTCCTGGTTCCTGCCCTGAGTTCCTGTCCTTGCTTCTCTCAACGATGAACTGTGATTGGGACGTGAAAGCCAAATAAACTCTCTGCCCCACCCCAATTGTTCTTGGTCAGTGTTTATCATAGCAACAGAAAAGTAACTAATGCAACAGTTAAATTATTTACTTAACACCATAAAATCAGGGTCAGCAAACTCATGACCTATAGCACAAATCCATGGGCTACCTGCTCTGTAAGCAATTCTTAATGGAATACAGTCATGTGATTTTTATATACTACCTAACTGATTTTGTATTCTAACAGTAGTGCTGAATCCCTGCAACAATACAGGATAAGCCGCAAATATTAAATATATATAGACAAGGTTCATAACAGGAAACATTGGCCAGCTTCTGCTGTAAAACAAACAAAATTTTGTATGTATTTAAATGGAGGGTGCTCTATACACTTTGACACTAAGTATCAGGAAGTAAGATATGGATGACATTGACATACATATTGATTGTCAAGGTCACCAAGAAGTACTTTTCTAGGCATTTAATCTGTACAAATATAATGTAAGCCAGGTATGAAGGCACACACCTTTAATACCAGCACTCAGGGGGCAGAGGCAAGTGGATCTCTGTGAGATCGAGGTCAGTCTGGTCTACATAAGCAAGTTCCAGGCCAGCTGGGGCTACAGGGAGACCTTAAAAATTATATATATATATTATATTATAATTATAAATATATATAAAATAATGCAATACATTTCATCTGAACTTTAAAATTTATACACATTTCCACTATCTGTCAAATTATTTCTAATACTAATAATACCACCTTAAGGACTGTGCTAAACACAGTAACACATACATAGTGACAAAACATGAAAACATTTCATTTTATTTCATAGACGATTATTAAATAAGTAGGCAATTCACATGACCAAGAGCTCAAACAAAAAGAAACAAACAAAAGAGAGATGCTTCAAATGGAAAAAACAATTTAGGGGAAAAGTTCTTCCCTCCCTACTTTCCTTTTTTCTTTTTTAAGCTTGAGACAGAATCTCACTATGTAGCTGAAGTTGCCTGGAATTCACTAGTCCAAGTCAAATCACTCTCTCAATCCTCCTGCCTCTGCGTTGGGATTATAGGTATCCACCACCATTCCTGGCATGAAAAAGTCCTTTCTGTGGAGGGAGTTTATAAATATTAGAGCCCAAACTCCAACATGAAAGAGCATATGGCTCTCTTTAGATCTCATTCCGTTTTCCTCACTTATAACTGTTATTCTTAGGTTATACTTTGACAGATCTATTAATAATTTATATGGTCTTCATATTAAGAGAATCTTACCTGAACTAAAATCCGTGGTCTCTGAGGAGATGGAAAAGGAACTTTATGCATAAAATGAGAAACATGCCTTAAAAAAACCAAAAAACAAAAACTCAATAGATTCCAAAATGAGTATCATATGCTATAAAAGTTAACATGTCATCACAAGTTCAAGTTGCATCAAAAGCCCTATGTATTTATAATTCCAAAGTCTCTAGTGCTGTGAAAACAAATGAACTACAAAAAAAGCATTCATGTCATTAAAGTTGCCCCTGCCTAAATCCAGTAATTTTTCATGTTAATAGCTGTTCATATTAAACAAGATTTTATCTTTAATGTCTCTAAATCATTTTCTTTTCCCTAAGCAGATAACAGACATTACTAAAGAAGTGAATTCTTAAATTTGTAATACATTTTAAAATTAATTGCTCATGTTTTGGTAGCAATATAACTAGTTAAGGTGCTTAAAAAAACAAATAAATTTAAATACAAATAAAACAAATATATTTAAATTTGAATACCCAGGTATCCAAGACTTAAAAAAACAAAGAGTAAAAAATATCATTCTTCTCACTATTTTTTTGTTTCACAAAAATTATTTTTTGCCAGGCATGGTGTTGCATGCCTTTAATCCCAGCACTCAGGAGGTAGAGACAGGCAGATCTCTGTGAGTTCAAGGCCAGCCTGGTCTACATAGCAAGTTGCAAGCTAGCTGGGGCTATGGGGGGACCCTGTCTCAAAAAGACCAAAAAAATAAAAATAAAAATAAAAAATTATTTTTCAAAAGAGTGTTTAAACACATTAGTTTATTAATTTTTAAGGAAAATTTTATTGCTCCAAGCCGCAGGCTTCTCTCTCCAGGACCAACCCAGCTCCTTAGTGCAGTCCCCAGGAGCCCTTCAGGCCTCTTCCCGCCCCATCTGCCTTTGCATCTCTGGGTGGCATGGCCACCAGCTACCCTAGACCAGCATCTATCCTGGGTCTGGCTCCCTGGCCAGTCCGGCCCCCAAATTCCTGAGGCCAAAATCTTTCCTGGAAGGATCCAGACCTTAGGAGAAAACCTGAGAGCATCGGATCCTCATCTGAATTGGGCCTCTGTGAGAATTCCTGAAGACAAAAGCAATCTGGCCACTCCAATATAAAAATCAAAGGAGAGAACTGGAAGCTTAAGAGGAATCAGCTTTTCATGCCCCAAAAGTAAACCACAAAGACACATAAAGTTTACAAAAAGAAGCAGACCTAAACTTGAAGGCTTGAGACTCACACAAGAATCAGAAACTACAAAACAAATTCACATGTCAAAATCACAGAGAAAAAATACTAACAT